CCTGCGGCATGTCGTCGGTCCTGTCTCCCGGAGTGCGTCGACCTCCTCCTGCACCTCCTGCTGCACCCCCCGGGCGGGACGCGGGACGGGGGCTTCCTCATTTAGGCAGCCGTCGCACCCGATCCCGCTACACAGAAGCACACTCATGGCGCTGCGAGGGGCGGGGGGGTCAGAGGGGGCGACACAAGGCTCGAACCTGTCAGACCAACCTTCGCGCCATCCCAGGACACTTGGTATTCTGAAGGGAAAATTGAAATCGGTGAAAAGGTCAATTTTTATTTGCTGTTAGCCAACACGAGTTTCAGGGCAGACCCTGCGACAGGCTCGTATATACCGTCGCGCCCACTTTCGTGCGGTCACATCAAAGCGCAGGAAGAGCTGTTTCTCTCTTGCAGTTTGTATCGAAAAGCTCATAGATATCGGGCGTTGCCGAATAAAAGTAGGCAAATTTCCTACGCACTATATGGTAAGATGTTACACTGAGCCACCCGGTACGTGTAGCATGAGTTTTTGACGACTTCATTTATAAACTGAGGTGGGTGATTAGCCCCGGCCACCAGTGCCGCATGCAGGCGGGCGGGCGGGTTTGCCTCCTTATTGTGTTTTTGCGGGATCCGGGCCCGACCCGGCTGGATACCTATCCAAGCCGAGAAAGATATCTGTCTAGTCGATTACTAGAGGATGGCTTGTACACAAAAACAACATGGCGCAAATATTTCCATTTATTTCGTCTAAGGTTAAAATCTAAAGAGGGGAAGGGAATGGGATATTCTAATGATGCGAATGTCGCACCCTCAGGTGAGAGAAAACATTCACACACTTGCAGGTGTGCGACAACACATCTACTCACATGCAGGTGTGTGAATAACACATCCACACACTTGGGGACGGAGCAAATAGCTACCTGTACAATTGTACGAATTGCTATTCGCACACCTACAGCGCAAATCTTTTTTTGCACACCTGCAAGTGTATGATTCTGTCCACTTGCCTCCGGCTGAGCGACATTCGTACATTCGGATTTCAAGTGAATAACAACTCTCGAGACTGATGAATAATTGCGAATAAAATCTTTACTTACAACATGTTTGTTGTCATCTAACGCGACGGTATCCAAGTCCAATACACACTCAAACACACACACACACACACACACACGCACACGCGCGCGCTCTCTCGGCCCGGCTTTTGGGCCCGGCGGCCGTTCGGTCCAGCGGCGGCGGCGCGGCGGCCGGGAGGGGAGCGGAGCAGAGCGTGGAGAGTCCCTGCCGCTCGACGCCACTTGCGAAAAGCGACTGACTGAACCACAACACAGGGCGGCGTGAGGCGCGCAGGATCTCTCTCACACACGCACACCGGGGTGTGGCGGGTCGTGGTGGGGCGTGGTGGCGTGGTGCGGCGGCAGCGCCCACCATGGCCAGCCGGCCCACCGCCACCACGCACCACCGCGGCACCACCGCGGTACGGGTGGAAGGATGCGCTGCGAGCTGCGCCCTGGCTGCGACCCACCATGGACCCCTCCCAGCCGCCCGGCCCAGCCCGGCCCGACCTCGATCATCATCATCGTCACGTCGTGAAACCAGACCAAAACCGGGAAGGCCGCGGCCACCACCGACTCGTCGCAGCATGGCGGGGCGGGGCGGGGCGGGGCGGGGCAAACGTGTGCGATCAACATGAAGCTCGATTGTGTGTTGATGACATGACATCGATCGCGGGGACCGTCGCCGCAGTACAACGAAGATGTTCAAGGCTGGCAAACTCGCGTCATCCAATCCACAAGAACGGGGAGGATGGTCTGGGAGGGAAAAGTCCACGTCGCACGTGGAAATTCCGTAAGGTTTTCCAGCTAAGTGGTAGAGTCCCGTGTCGCAATCCTCCCCTATCCTACACTGCAGCGATCATTAACCGAGAGCTCCCGGACTTTTTCGACTTGCGATCCCGATCTCGCAAATACAGTCCCCAAAATTTTAATGATTTGTGTGCCTTTTTCCTGATTGCTTCCGAGATCGGATTCGGAAAGTGGCAAAATCCGATGCAGCTCTTACTCTCAGGCATTCAGGCGAAAAGTCAACTCACGGGGTACCTAGAGAATAGAAGTTTGGGACCACGCGACACACGCATTCTCAAGGAGGGGAGCGAGGGAGAGAAAGGTTTGGGATGGTACAGGGTACAGCAAGACCGCACGACCCAACAGAGGGGAAGACAGGGGGGGGGGGGGTTCTAGGAGCAAAAGGATTGCGTACCGCACCCATGTTCATTGGACGCTCTATCAAGGGGGGAATCATTCTGGAACTCGCCCCTGGCTGATTCGTGGTGTGTGTTGTTTGTTTTTTTTTCGAAAACAAATCGCCACATAATTTATTTTGCACGGCTTCGCTCGACATCGCTTTTACTCCCCCTTTCTTTCGCGTACACGGGTACGACGTAATTACCTG